TGGAGGAGCTGCGCTCCTTGCTCACGCAGTCGTCCTGGGAGGTGGTGTCCCCGTTCCCCATCATGCTGCAGGTCCGCCGCTTCTTCCTGCGGTGCATCGTCCCATCTCCTTCGGACCCCGTCTCACACTGGACACGGGAGAGAAAGCACTTCAACCAACGGAGCCTCCGGCCTCAGGAGACGGCGCCCGTGGTCCGTCCCCCAGAAGCCAAGCAGCCATGCGACTGCTCCGCAGTGCAGTCCGAGTGCCACCAGGCCTTCCTGGTGCCCGAGAATCCCCACCTCCCCGCAGGGGGCTGTCTCCCCTCAGGTCCCCCCGTGTTCTCTAACAGGAGGTCTCTGAAACCAGGGCTCCCCCTCAGAACACTGAGTCACCATTCGGAGGCGGCATCACGGAATTTTATCGACCAACACAGCCTGCTGCGTGAAGGTAAGGACCACACGTAACGATCATAAGACACCACCTCCCGCAGAGCTCCCCTCTCCCCCTCCTGCTGCTGTCCCGGGACCTGCCCTGGAGGCCCGGGGCGAGCAGGCTCACCTCCGAGTCCGAGTCGGACGAGCTGGAGCTGGAGGAGCTGGAGGAGTCGCTGGAGCTGTCAGAGGCGATCCCTGTGGATTCCTGAAGGTCAACGGAGTCAGCCAGGACAGCCAGCTCAGGGTGCTCCTGCTTCAGGATCCTGAGAGACAAGGAGCGCCGATCTCAGGGTTGGCCCGGCCAGACAGCCACAGGCACAGGCACAGGCACAGGCACGCGCCCGGCTCCGGCTGCGCCCTGGCTCCGGGCGCCTGTTGGGAGCGAGGGCTGTCCGGGGCAGGGACGCAGTGCGCAGGCTGGGAGCGGAGCCCACACGCTCAGGCTTCCCGGAAGGAAGGAACCCGAGCTCCAAGCTCTCTGGCCACCAGCACCGGGCGGACGCACTGCCACTTCGTGGCCAGGTTTCCCTGACTTAGTCACCTGCCCCCTGGGGAGCCAGTCTCTGCCTCATTCCCTGTGCTTTCCTGGCTGTTTGTGACTCCCTTTCCACACACAGCACACACTTAACGGTCGGTGTTGCACTGACAAACTCTACTGGTGAGAGTAGAAGCCATCAGGCCTGTGAGAAGAAGTCTGAGGATAAAACGAATCGGAACTGGGCCACGGGAGGCAGCAGCCCCCCTGGGGACCTAACCTGGACGGTGACGGGACAAGCCCTGCGGAGGCCACAGAACGGCCCACGGGGCAGGCGGCAGCCTACGAGGGCGACGGGCCTCAGGTGCCTGAGTCCGGGAGAAGCCACCACCCTTGCTGGCCCTCTCAGCAGGGGGCTGGCCCTGACAAGCCAGAATCCCTCTTACCCCGAGAGCCGGTCCCTCCAGGTCAGGGTTGGGACACAGTGGCACGGGGTGGCTGGGGGTGGCTTGCACTGCCGCTGCCCGTGCTGTGTCTGTTCTGTGGACAAACAGAGGAGCTAAGTCTCCGGGCAGTGACCTCACTCCTGAGAACTGAAGGGAGCAAGTTCAAACGGGAATAATGCTGCCGGGTAAGGAAAAGAAACAAGCGAAATAAAACCCACTCAAATGGCTTCCTCTGCTGGTGAAGGTAAGCACCGCACAGAACGTTCTAGCTCTGGGGAAAGCAAAAAACGAAAGGGGAAACGACCCCGATGATGCATGCTTGACACTCTGATCACCATTGCGGGGCCACCTGCTACCTCGAGGCTGGAGCATCCTGAGAGCTAGCCCTGACCTTGACCCTCTCCCTGCACCTGCGCACTCATCAGCCCGCTTCCGCCAGGCCCGCCTAAGCTCAGCCCATGGCGGGCTCTTTCCATGTTCTCTCCGGAAGAAATTGGGACAAAGCAAAAATAAGAAAAAAATGGCTCTCACCTATACCATTTCCTGGACAACTTTGGTCTCCCTCTTACCGTCTTGTGCCATACAACAGGGAAGTTGGTGCTGCTGGCAAAATTCTGGGTGATGGCAATGGTGGTGTCAAGATTGAGGACAACATGCCACCAGCCTCCTGAAACCCAACAAGGAAACCGTTAGGGGGCCGGGCTCTGTACCCATCGCTCCAGAACATCAACATTACATAGCACTGAACATGAGCTGCACAGGCAGGGGTCACTCCCCGGTGGGGCCTCGGAGATGGGCAGGGCGGGCCTGCTGCTCCTGGCCCACAGTCACGAAGGGCCCGCCAGGAAGTTTACTGGGGGACGGCTGTGCCCACCCTCTGGATCATCTATGGCTGCTTCCCTGTGACTAGGACAGAGCTGAGCAACTGCGACACAGGCCAGTGCCTGACGGGCTCTCTCTGGGCCTTTACAGAAAAGTAACTCCCAGCTGGGACCCAAACTGTGAAGGCAGCGTGTTCTCCAGCCTCCCAACTCTTAGCCTGCCGGAGGCATCAGGGATGGAACGGATTTCCTGCCTCTGGGTTCTAGGTCACTATTCCTGGCTCAGCCCACCCAGTCTGACACTGTATCCAAGCTCCAGGCTACAGAAATATGACAAGTCACAGAACACACACACGACACTGGGGACACTAAGGATAAAAACGGGTGGGATCTGAAATGCAGAAAAGGTATCAACAGCCAATAGGTATCCAGGTGACAGTGGACAGCAGCACCCCGAGCACCTGACAACACAGAGCATGTCGCTGTCAGAGGCGGGCAGGCGGCTCTGGAGTCGGCATGGAGGGCTGGCCTGGGCTCTCTCTCTAGTTCTGCTCCGAAGGGACAAAGGACTAAACTCAGAGAGCACTCTGCTTCCGTCCGTCTGTACCTGGCACAAAGACAGTCTCTCCCGGCTGCTGCAAGATTTCTAGGGGTCTGAACTCGGGGGGCCAGGTTGGGAGCTGTGTCCGGGGATAGATGATCTTAAACCAGGTGATGGCTTCATCCTGCTGGTTCCCCCCTTCGTCGCGCGTCACCTTGATGAGCTCCCGGGGCGTGCTGGTGGGAAACAGGCACCAGCGCTTGTGGCCCTGCACCAAGGCGTTCCAGGCGCTGGTGCCCAGGGGGTCGATGTGGATTCCGGTGCCGGAGCGCGGGGGCCCCATCACAAACCACCTGCAGGAAAGAAACACCCGAGAAGTGAAGGACAATTTCATCACATCCCCACAAAGTAGCACATTTTCACACACGACACTGTGTCATCTTTGTTTCCAAGACGACACACATTTTGGCACCTAGAAATGCTGAGTGACTTGTGGGCGGACAGTTCACTGATGAAAAAAGGAAAACCAGCCGAAACCGGTTGGCTCAATGGATAGAGCATTGGACTGCGGACTGAAAGGTCCCGGGTTCGATTCTGGTCAAGGGCATGTACCTTGGTTGCGGGCACATCCCCAGTAGGGGGTGTGCAAGAGGCAGCTGATGGATGATTCTCTCTCTTCGATGTTTCTAACTCTCTATCCCTCTCTGTAAAAAATCAAAAAAACATTTTTTTTTTTTTTTAAAAAGGAAAACCACTAACGGGGCACAGCGCTGGACTCACAACTTCCCTTGCAGATAGATCAGTGGTTCGCCTTGGGTTGCATGGCCAGTCATCTGGGAGCTTCCAGAAATCCCCACGCCCGGGCAGCACCCAGATGGATTCAACCAGAGTCTCTGGACCCCAGTGGGCATCAGCAGCCCCGAGTCAGTCCCAGGTGCAGCCCAGGGGCAAGCACGCACTGCTTTGCAGAAGGGGGCGGGCTGAGGGCCCCAGGGCCTTACCTGTAAGGGGGCCTGCGCTTCTCCCCCGCGTACTGGAACAGGTCATCGGTGAAGAACTTGGGCACCTGGTAGTCCTCCAGGAGCTTCCTCCTCTTGGGGTGCTCGCCGTAGCTGCTGTCGAAGATGTACAGGGGGCTGTCGTCCCGCGTGCTCTCCATGTACTCGATGTAGTACTTCATCTTCATCTTCACCGAGTAGCCGTCGTTGTCCTCCCCGCACTTGAACTTCTGGTTGCGGTACTTCCTCTTCAGGCGCTCCAGCGTCCATTTCTCCTGCGCGGACCAGCCCTCCTGGGCGTTGAGCAGAACCACGGGCTTGTAAGGCCTCTCGTATCGCTCCACGAAGTCTTCCACCGAGAGCTGCAAGGCGTCCGCCCGCTCCACGTTATCCTGAGGGAAGCAGAGAGGATCTACCCAGTTTTTAAAAATCAGGCAAAGTAAAGGTGTCCCAGGGCCAACTAGCAATGCCATACCTAAGGAGCCAGGTTTTTGTTCCGGCTTCTACTGGGGTGGGGGTGGGGTGGGGCGGGGGAAGGACCTGCCCGCGTGCGGGTACGACGCACTCAGAGCCCCCGCACCGGGGCGGCTTCGCATCTCCCACTTGGGGCCTCGCCTCTTTGACAGCCAGGTCCCCGCGGGTCCCGCCGTCCAGGAGGATCAGGGAGCCACAGGCCTTCTCTTTGAGGGCGCCAAAGCCGTGAGGGTGCAGCTGCCGGGCAGGGGAGGGGAAGGGGTGCGGGACCCCGGGGTGCGGCGCGGCGGACTGTGCCCGGGGAAAGGCGCGGCCGGGGAGCCCGGGCCCGGCCGCGATGCCCGCGCGCTCACCGCCACGGCCGCCGGGTTCAGCGAGAAGCTCTCGTAGTAGTTGTGCCGGGTCCAGTCCAGCGAGTCCTTGAGCTCCGGGCGCGCACTCCGCTTGGCCTCGCGGATCCGCTTCTTGCTCTTGTGGTTCATCCTGCGGGGCTCGCCAGCCAGTTCCGCGACGACCGCCGCGCTGCCCGCTCCTGCCGCCGACGCGCTCCCTCCCGGCCCGGCCACGGCCGCACTGCAACGCCCTTCGCTCGGGCCCGGCGCCTTCAGAGCCGCCTTCCAGAAAATTCACTCCCCAACCACCGCCCGGGCCGCGGGTTGGGCGTGCGGCTGCCGTCTTCCCCGCCCCCCGGCTGCTCGCGGCCCGCCATTGGCCTGGGCGCCCGCAGGGCCCCCCTTCACAGACGCCGGGTTGCTGCCATGTTGGGAAGGTCGGGCTGCCGAGGCACCGCCCCCGCGGCGGGCTTCCTGTGCGTCACTTCCGGTAGCGCCGCCTGTCCGCAGCCGACGTCCGCCGGCGTGCCGCACGCGCCTCCCGCTGTGTCCCAGTTTCCTGGCCCCGGGTCCCCTCCCCGCGCTGCCGCTCCGCCGCCGGAGGGGCGCTCCCCTTTCTGGCTGACGTTTTAGGGGCCCGACGGGCCCGCGTGGCGCCGGGGAAGCGGCCCAGCCTGTCCCGGGCCCCGCGCGCGCAGCCTGGCGGCCCGGCGCCCTCCGCCGCTGCCAGCCCTCCCGGGACCCACCGACTCCTCGCTGGGTGGCCGCGGCCTCCGGGGGCATGTGGTGCGGACCCAGCGCTTTCGGTTCTCGGAGGAGCCGGGCCTGGGAGCGGAGGGGGCCATGCTGGAGGTCCGCGTCCCGCAGGTGCGTGAGCGGCACCCGCCCTTGGCGCCGCGGCCCCTGGCGCCCTGGCTTAGCGGTTCTCAGTGCACCGAGGGGGGCAGGCAGAGGGGTGTGGGGTCCGGCTGCCTGCCTGTTGGATGGGCCACGGTTGGTGTGAAGCCTTTGGCATAGAACGTCTTTCAGTGAGGAAGCTGGGGACCCTGCCAGGACGGAGCTAATCCACTCCGTTTCCTGCCAGAAAAGTGGCATTTTTAACACCTAATGTTTTCTTTGGTCTCGTTGAAGGGCTTCTTAATTGAGCTTCCTCTGGGAACGGGAGCTCCACCCTCACTGATGCAGTAAAGCGTTGGGGTTGGCACTCATTTCCTTTTCAGCTCGCGAATGTCCCCAAACTCAGTAATTGTACCTTGTCTGCGTCCGGTTTTGCAAAGCCTTTTCACGTTGCTGTCTTTCGTTTGGTTTTTAACAGCAACCTGTGACACGGTAACAGTTTAAAGATGAAACAGCTTAAGTGGAACCTAATTCTGAAAGGTGCTCATGCCTTCCCGTTGAAATACCCATTTGGATTTCTTCCCAATTTTAGGAAGTGAACATATTCCCTGTGAGAATAGAGGCCTCTTTTATTTTCATTTTTTAATAGATTTTTATTGATTTCAGAGAGGAAGGGAAAGGTAGAAACATCAATGATGAGAGAGAATCACTGACTGGCTGCCTCCTGCAACTGGCTGCCTCCTGCACGCCCCCTACTGGGGATCGAGCCCGCAACCTGGGCATCGAGCCCGCAATCTGGGCATGTGCCCTTGACCCGAATTGAACCCGTGACCCTTCAGTCCCAGGCCGATGTTCTATCCACTGAGCCACCCCGACCAGGGCAGGGCCCCTTTTCTTTACACCCAAATCTGCACAACTCTGGTCAGATATCCCCCATTGTCCTGAGTAAAGTACCAGGCAGGCGTTTTTGCCTCTCATTCACCTACAGCCCTACAGGTGGGACAGGATCTAGCATGTTTTAGGCACTTGCATGTTTGTTGAGTGGATGAGGTTCAGACCTCAGTTTCTTCACCTTTGTTACTTTTATTATACTGCAGCCCCATTTCTACCACCCACTAGGCGCACCCTTTGCTCTAGGAAACAGGCCTGCTGTTGCAGTATGTTTAATGATAGCTTTATTTGCTTATTTTGTGCCTGGCACTGCACTCAGCAGTTGGCATTGAATCTTCCTATTAGCCCAGTGCTAGTATTTTGTAATTGAGGAACCTGAGCACAGACTTAATAACCCAAGTGAGGTCACACAGCTGGTCAAGTCCAGACCTGGAGTTTGAAGTTGGGCAGACTTAAGAGCTGTGAGCTATGTTATGTTGCCTCGCAAAATACCAGGCTCTCACAGTTCTCTTTTTCAAAGGCTTTGTAAGCTGCCTGCCTTGAAGGGGATATAAAACTGCCATATGGTGGGTGAGCACTCTTCACACATTTATTCAACAAGCATCTATCAGAGACTCTGGCCACTCAGACCTCTTCCAGGATGTCTTCCTAGGACCACATTGTTTCTCATTAGCACACCAAGTTATGCCTGTGCTTAAAACCCTCCAGTACCTTCTTGCATTTAAAAAAAGAAAGAAAAAAAGAAAGAAAAAACTACACTTCCTGTGGCCTGTAAGAGGGCACTTTGGTCCCTGCCTCTCCGTGACCTCTGTTTGCATCTGTGCTCCCTGTTGTCCAGCCAGAAGCATTAGTTCCTGCTTCCGGGCCTTTGTCTGAATCACCCACGCTCCCTCCCTATCTAGTGCAGCCACCTTGTGGTCATTGTCCGTCTCTCCCCGCCCTCCTCCCCCATTACTCTCCTATCACCCCGTTTGTGGTTTGTGTTGTGCTTATAGCATTTTCATGAACCAAAATTCTCTCTCCTTACTTGCTGCCTATCTCTCCCTAGTAGGGTACATATGCTCCATGAGTTATATCCTCAGCCTAGAAGCCATTAAGCCACGAGTCTGAATAAATGATTGTTGAATGAATGTTTGAAGAGTGCTTACCACACAGTATAGCAGTTTTATCCCCCGTCCCCCTCCCAAAACGATGCGAATTGGAGAGCAGGGGAATGTCACCTTTGTAATGGATGCCGGAGTCGGGCACTCGGTTGTGATAAGTATTCCAGTAGATGAGTTATTTTGTACAAAAATTCTTTTCAGGTTCTGCATCTTCAGTATGGAATGTACGTTTGGCCCTGTGCTGTAGTCCTGGCCCAGTACCTGTGGTTTCATAGAAGATCCCTACCAGGCAAGGCTATCTTAGAGGTACGTGTGCCCTTGAGGTTTCAAGCACGCTGTGTTCAGATATGTCTACATGCTTGATACTTTTTTTTGTTAAACACAGGGTGGGGCAAAGTAGGTTTACACCTGTATGTGAAGTTTCTTGTATCCTTTTCCATACTGCAAACCGAGTTTTGCCCCAGTATTTTAAAATCGGGGTAACGTGGCCAGCTTTTAAGGCATGCGAGTTGTGATTTTTACATTTGTAATATGGGGTTTAAAAAAATGTGGCCCACCCACACTAAAATATTTAGTGTGGCCCTTTAGTTGCTGTGGGCCCTTATTCCGTGAGGCCGTGACTAATTTGGCACAGAAGCAGTCATTGAGGACATCTTCCTAGGGTGTCCCAACAGGGTCATTTGGGCTCTAACATGCCCATCCTCAAACTGGAAATGGGAAGTTTTTCAATCAACGGGAATGCGAAGGTATTTCTTGGCATTGCTCATTGTTTAACATGTCACCTTAAACTAACCAGAAAATCCCCTTTTGGAGGAAGCCATTGTAGACCTGTCAGGCTTTATTCGCATGAAAATGAAAGTAACAAGTGCCTGAGCTTCTAGAGGCAGCAATCCCTACAATTAACTCCTTTAAGGAGAACTGAAAACAGAACAAGTGCCCCAAGATGACTTCTCCCGGTCACATTAAGCAACGAAATGGCCTAAGACACACATTGGGTGTGGAAGCACGAGGTCAGTTGCAGAATACAGGGCCCTGTAAGGGACTATAACCGCACTTTGACCCAATAAGAGGGATCACACAGGCTTTTACCATAAATTTGAAGCCCAAAGTTCCTACAGGTTAAGGCAGTGTTTTAATTATGGCATGTTTTATAGATATAAGCTCAAACACTGCTCACAAGAACGAAATGGAAGTCTGCTAAGATACAATTTCATTTGCAGTTTTAGGCAGGAACTTTGAAATGTTCTTTTATACTAGATTGGAGCTGGAGTGAGCCTTCCAGGAATTGTTGCTGCAAAATGTGGCGCAGAGGTGACGCTATCGGACAGTTCAGAGCTGCCTCACTGCCTAGAAGTCTGCCGGCAGAGCTGCCAAATGAATGACCTGCCACAGGTGCGTGTTCTAGGTCTAACGTGGGGCCACCTATCTCTGGACCTGCTGACTTTGCCACCCCAAGATATTATTCTTGCAGCTGACGTATTCTTTGAACCAGAAGGTAACTTTTTTTCCTTAATAGCCAATTTGGCCTGATTCACAATGTAAGCAGAAAGTCTAGAATAAGCCCTTTCTTCCTAGACTTTGAGGACATTTTAACTACAGTATACTTTCTGATGCAGAAGAACCCCAAGGTCCAATTGTGGTCTACTTACCAGGTAAGAAGGTAAGCCAAGCTAATCCTGGTTCATTCAATCAACTTTATTAAGTTAAATAAAGCCTTAGGATAACATGAAAAAACACCTGAAGCCAAACAGGAAGATAATTTTAGAAAGTTTATTTTTCAGTGCTGACTGGTCACTTGAAGCTTTGATCTACAAGTGGGATATGAAATGTGTCCACATTCCTCTGGTGTCTTTTGATGCAGACAAGGAAGATATAGCAGAATCTGCCCTTCCAGGAAGACATACTGTTGAAATGCTGGTTATCTCATTTGCAAAGGACAGTCTGTGAGTTAAACCTACAAGCTGTTTTGGGACAATGTCCATATTGATTAGCAACCTGGCATGCCGGTGAGGATCCAGACCACTTCAGCCTGAGTATAAGCAATGGTCAGATCTATTGGCCTTAAGACTGTGATGTGTCATCTAGACAGTACTTGTGGGACACATAGCCATGGAAACAAAAATTAAAACACCTATTAAGGACTCAAGTTGTTCCTAAGTCATTAAAATAGGGCATCCATTAGGTCATGAGAAAGGAGCAGCCACAACCTCAGCGTGCTACCATAGAACATCAATTTTAGGGATTGTTGAACTGGCATAAAAAAAAAAAATCAGCTAAGCATTTCACTTTGATACTATACAGTAACATTCACAATGGCACAGGTCTTTCAAACAAAGGGAGGAAAAAAGACCAAGACATATTCTGAGAAAAGCTAACACCAAGAAAACATTTTTAATTAAACTATAGAAACAACGGTTATAGTACAGAATATTTATGAGCAAAAAAAAAAAAAAAAGATACACCATGTTTTAAGTACTTACAAAGTTACAAACCATTTGCTTCCTTAACATTTTTCATATTTCAAGTTCATACATGAAGGTGATCATTTTTACCATTTGGTGGAGTGAGGGGTAGAAAAAAAAAAAATGGTGTATTTATCATCAGCTAGATGTGCTCACTGTATGCTCCGTTATCTAATGCAAGGCCCGGGTGACTGGAAGTGCAGTTGTCAGGCATTTTAATAAACTGGACAGCCATTTGTTTCTGCACGACAAGGCATCTTTACACAGGAGCAATCGGGAGAAAACAGGAAACAGCCAAGCACTCTGCACTGCAACACGCCACCTTAACAGCTAACCAGCATTACTCAACTGCTACACAACTGCGCCTAGTGCACAAAAATACATAAGAGAAGAGATTAGAATTGTGTTTGGTAAACAATCCTTTCAAAAAATCAAGTCTTTTCACCTGAAAAGTCTTTATACAAGTTTAGGTTCAGATTACCATTTAGATCTGAAGGTAAATAACATGCACAAATTTACACCAACTTTTGTAGGTTTTTAATTCTAAGGAATGAAGGCAATGCTGAGTCAATCTCTTGACAGCTTTAGGCTGTGCGTAATGGCTGCACGTTTCCTTAAAAGTCAGGAGGCCACAAATTAGGTTACCAATCTGTTTAATTTCAAACAAAAAAAGTCAGCACTATATAAACAAAAAGGAAATTTTACCTCAAATATCCAAGCCAATAATGAAATCTGAAGTCGTTCACCTTACTAAATTACAAGAAATTTGAATAACAGCAACAAAATGGCACATAAAATGAATTTTGCCACCTGAGGCAAAGCTTAAAACAAGTAAAAAGTTAGACAAATGTTACAAAATAACCTTTTCAATAGCCAGTTGCTTGTTCCAAGGCAGGACTCTTTGATGGACTGAGCATGTAGTCCTTTTCCTCCAGGTTTTCTGTTATGTTGCTTGTCGACACATCTAGGTTTGAAAAGAAATTAAGTTCAGTTTTCCTTCCACTACTGTGAAGTCCAAAGCACACATGGTTTCAATTTCAGGCATGTACTCACTAAGGCTCTGGTGAAACAAGTAGGTTACAGAAAGGTTCCACCCAGCCATTCTCTCAAATTTTTTAAGGCCCAAATTAGTAAATTCTCACATTAGCATTTACAAATTTGTGTGTTCTTGGCCAAATAACCAAGGTGAAAAATCGTTAAAGGGGAGGGGGGGGGAGAAAAGAAAAGGAGAAAGTTGGGGGGGGGGCCCTGTATCCAAACAAAATGAAATCAGAAAAGTAACCTATATTTTGAGATAAATTGAGTTTTCAAACAAAACATTTGGCAATGAGAATAAGGCTTTAATATCTGAGCTACTTAGGGCCCTTCCTTTTAAAAAATAGGACCAAACAATTGGAGAGTTAAAGACACACTATCCTTTCCCCACCCAGCGAAATACCTGTAAACTTTCTTTTTGGGTTCCAAAAGTTCATTGCTGCTTTTTGCAATTCGTTTGCCACATCCACTAGAATAGTGAGTCCCAGTCAGCACAACAAGAGTTGAGCTGATAGCTTTCTCTACGAGGATAGTGCATCTTTAACATTTAAAGACAAACCTGCTCCAATACACGCCCACAGAAACTGGTCCCTGGAGGATCAGCCAAATCAGTTAAAATCTGCAATACTGGCCAATATTCTTTTATCAAACAGGAGACCGCAGCTTTAAAGGGGAAAATGCAGACGTTGGATAAAAACAGCAAGAAATAGTCATTTTCATCAATAGGTCTCAAACAGTTTACGAAACAGCCACCATCATCTAAGCTCACACACATCCTTCCTGCAGACCCCTCATCCAGAGCACTCCCGGGCTGAGCGCAGAGCGGCTCCTAACCAAGTCGGGAGGCGCCTTCCGGCGAGCGCGGACGGAACCCTACTCACACCCCCCAGCCGCGCCATGCGCCGCGGACCCCGTGGGCATTACCGTTTGCTTAAGAGGACACGGCTCCCTCCTCTTCCGGAGACTTGGGGGGGCTCTTGGACCGCGACCTGGACTTGGACTCCCTCTTGGACACGGGCGGGGGACTCCTGGACCGCGACCTGGACCGGGACCGCGAGCGGGATCTGGACACGGACGACGACTTGGACTTGGATCTTCTCGCCGACCTGGACTTGGAGGTGGACCGCGACCTCGAGCGAGTGCGGGACCGAGACTTGGAGCGGCTGTAGCGGGATCGGCTGCGAGACCGGGACCGGCTCCGACTCCGGGATCGGCTGCGGCGGCGCCGCCTGGGGCTGAGAGCGGAAGCGAGAGGCGCGTCAGGCCCCGCGATCCGGCCGCGCCCCGCCCGCCCGCCATTATCTCGGCGCCGCCGCCATTTCCCGGCCGCGAGCCCGGGTCGCCCAGGCCCGGGGCCGCCCGCCACCACGTGCCCCCGCGCACCTTTGTGAGTCAGCCCGGGCCCCTCCCCAGTTACCTGCGGCTCCGGCGTCCGTAGCCACCACCCCCGTACCTGCGGGGTGGCGGTCCCCGGCGGCTGTGGTGCGAGTCCGGCGGCCGGCCGTACCGCGCCATCTGCACGCGCAGCTCGCGGCCGTCCAGCACGGCCCCGTCCATGGCGTCCATGGCGTCTTCGGCGTCGCGCTTGTCGTGGAAGCGGACGAAGGCGAAGCCGCGGGACTCCTTGGTGTAGCGGTCCCGCGGGATGTACACGTCGCCGACGCGCCCGTACTTCTCGAAGACGCGCCTCAGGGTGTCGGGAGAGGTGCGGTAGGTCAGGTTGTCCACCTTGAGGGAGGTCATGCCCTCCACATCGGGAGGCGGGCGGCCGTAACTCATGGCTCTGGAGCGTCGGCCAGGCCCTGCGACTGCGCGCCGAGAAACGAACGCCCTGGGCGGGCCCGCGCGTTCCGCAGGGGCGGCGGCGGCTTCCTCAGACTAGCTCAGCTCCACGCCGCGCCTCTCCTCCGGCCACTGGCTTCCGCGTGGAAACGTTTCTGAGAACGGCCGACAGACGGACCGAGCTGCCGCCTATCGAAGCACAGAAGCAACTGGGCGAGTATGCGGCCCCAGTGCCCATTTATATTCAGCCTCACAAAATGGCGCCCGCGCCACCCAGAAACGAGCCCTCTGATTGGCTGGCCCCGCAACGTCCCGGCCGCGTGCGCCGGCCGTGCCCGGCGCGCCTGCGCAGAGCCCGGAAAAGCGCGGAGTCACTGCCGCCGGGAGGGGGGAGTGGCTTCGGCCGGCAGTTGGAAAGCCCGCGAAACGCTTCTTCCGGCGGGCGCTGCGGGCAGGAGGAAGGGGAGGTGCTCCCGCCCTGGGCTCCGCCTCCTTTCCGTGCCAGTACCGGAGTTCCACGCCGCTTTCCGGCTCAGGCCTCAGCCCCGCCTCCGTCCGAGGGCCTCCTCCTCGCCCCATCTGCGTCTCCGGGTCCCCAGCCGCCCGGGACCCCGCTATGTGGTCCCAGGCCCCCTCCCGCCAGTCTCCGCCCTTCCGCTGGGCTCCGCTTTCCGGCCCGCCTTAGCCGGCGCCGCGGGCCCGGCCCGCTCCCCTCACGGGGGAAGGAGTCTCGCGAGGCGCCGGCCAGTCCCGGCGGCGCGGGACTACATTTCCCAGCTGGACGGCGGCGCCGCGGCTGCGGTCAGGTGACCGGGCCGCCTGACTCGCACCGAGTCCGGCCCGGCGGGCGGGCGGGGCGGCGCGGGCTCTGCGTCCTTGGCTCCTGATCCCCCTGGCGGCCCTCCACCCGGCGGCGGCCTTCGTGCCGGGCTCCTCCTCCCCGCCGGCCCCCGGGGATGCGCTAACTGCCCGCGGGGAGCGCTTCGCCCCAAGCCGGATTCGGATGCGCGGACCGGAGGGCGACAGCCTGGCTCCTGGCTCCTGGCTCCCGGCTCCGGGCCCCTGGCTCCTGGCTCCGGGCGCCTCCGCTCGCCGCCTCTTCACCCCGGGGTTGGCGGTGGGTGCGCCCCGAGGAGAGCTGACTGCCCGGGGCTGCGGGCCTCCGGCCGACGGGCGCCAACATGTCCCCGGAATCTAAAAAGCTCTTCAACATCATCATCTTGGGGGTCGCCTTTATGTTTATGTTCACCGCCTTCCAGACTTGTGGAAATGTGGCGGTGAGTTGGGGTCTGCTGTTCCGCGTCCCAGAAATGAGACTAAACTTTAATCGTATCTGAGAGCGCTCAAATCGCGCCTTTTATTTTCCCAGCCTTCCTCCTTGTTTTTTTAACGATTAGGGTTGATTTCACGTACCCAGCCTTTCTTCTGGACGTGTGGGGATGTGAAACGTGGCCGTGGGTTTCTCTGTGTGATGCTGGGCGTGTGTTGGCATGTGTATCTGTATTAAAGTCTGCGTTAAACTTGGAGATTAAGGCAGTTTCCGCAGCCCCCTCCCCCACCGCGCTCCCTGACACGGGTTATCTTCTGTTCTGTGATGCTTTTTCTTCTCTCCTCACCTCCATCGCTAAGTACTGGGCACTCCGTTTTTACTCTATTCCGAGCGCTTGGAGACTCCAGGGGGGAGAGGGGTTGCAAAAACCTTTCATGTTGTTGATCGTTTTGTCTCCCACGCAGCAAACTGTCATCCGGAGCTTAAACAGCACGGACTTCCACGGCAGTGGGTACACCAGGTATGGCTCTGTACCTCGGTTTTACTTTACATATTTGGGGAGCGGGGGTTGGGGAAAGGTTGCTTAAATCCACATCAGAATCACGGGCGTTCGTAGGGACTGCTGTTTCCTTCTCTGTATGTAGACTTTGGGGAGAACATCGTTGAATAAAGGCGATGAGTTTAGGTTTTGTGTTGAGTTAGACACCAAGTCTGAACTCCCAGCTTCAGAGCCGAATTGCTGCAAAGTCTTAGGCAAGCTGCCTCGCCGAACCGGGCTTCCTTACTCAGCGAGCCGGGCACAGGAGCTGGCATTTCATAAGCCCTCAAGTATCGGCATGTTACGTCTTCCCAACCTTAATGCAGAGGCCGTTTTATAAGATCTTGAAACACTTGGTCTTTCTGCTTTTGCAATTTCCGAGGATTCCTAGGCTGTCATCAGGGCGCTGAGTCCCAGCTTGCACATGGCGAAGAGACCAGCGTGTAAGGCCTGGTACACTGTGCCTGGAGCCGGGAGCGTAAGTGCGTGTGTTCCCACGCACAGACACGCTACCTCGTTTCTCCATTCGTAGGAGATTGTGGGCAATATCAGTCTTGTGGGTCCCCTCTCCCCACCCGCACCCCGTCTTCCTTGGTTATCACCGATCCCAAGCCTGGCCTTGTATGCGATATTTGAGAGTAAAGGGATATTTATGCCCATTTTTCTAAAGGATTCCCACAGCGTTTCGTAGTGCTTTGTATACATACGTACTCTACGGACATTTGGTATTTGAGAGGTTCGTAAAAGCCAAAGAATAATCTACTGTGGGCTTGTGAGGAGCAAGTAAATCCGGGACCTTTGGAATGGTTTTAGTCCCACTTTGTCCCAAGACATACACGTACCAGGTAAGGTGGGTCTACAGTCGCTGAGTACTGTTCAGTGAGACCTGGAGGCTGAGCTGCGTGAACTCTGGCTTACCTCTGCCCGTTATTTATAGCAGCAGAGGCGCCGCACTTGCCAGGGCTTGTAGCTGAGTGTGGAGAGCAGCCTGGGTGACTGGGGCCTCAGATGACCAGGGACGGGACCCGGGGTCCCCAGGTGCCCCGGGGGACGCCGGGCAGGGGACTTAGCCCTCCCGGGTTTCCGTTTCCTTCTCTGAGAGACGAGGACGCTAACAGTGCCCTCTTCTCAGAGCCAGGGGGCTTAAGAGCAAAAACGCGTAGAAAGTGCTTGGCACGGTGCCTGCTCGCTGTGGTTATAATTTACCAGGACATCAGACACCATATCCACCAGGGCGCACTTCCTCAAAGGAACATGGGGTGAGACTTCACTATTCCGTACACGTGAGAACTTGAATATGGCGTTGGGTTGAAGGATATCATTAGAAACGCCGCCTAAAGAAGAGGGATGTTCGTTGCAAACGTCCAGAGACTAAGGAAACCCGAAGAGGGGACTCTTAAGACAGCCCCGCGCTGTTGTTCTTGTTCCGTGTGCAGCATGGCCATCATTTACGGCGTGTTCTCCGCCTCGAACCTGATCACGCCCTCCGTGGTGGCCATCGTGGGCCCCCAGCTGTCCATGTTCGCCAGCGGCCTGTTCTACAGGTGAGGCGGTGCTTGTCCTCTCCTTTTACTGGGAACACCTTCCGCGTCTCAGCACAGAGCGAGCTTGTAACAGGAGCCTGCTCACTTGGGTTGAGTAGAAGAGACCCATAGTCGGCAAACTGCGGCTCACGAGCCACATGCGGCTCTTTGGCCCCTTGAGTGTGGCTCTTCCACAAAATACCACGGCCTGGGCGAGTCTGTGTTGAAGAAGTAGCGTTAGAAGAAGTTTAAGTTTAAAAAATGTGGCTCTCCAAAGGAATTTCAGTCATTGTCCTGTTGATATTTGGCTCTGTGGACTAGTGAGTTTGCCGACCACGGGCCTAGACGAAGGCGATGTTTTAGGGTTTGGCTGTCTTCTCTGTGCTCAGGATACTCAGCGTTTGAATGAGATTGGTCATGCATATACTCGCTCTTGTTTTACTCTTAATAAGAACAGTTCGCAAAAATCCCTTTCTACTAGAGTCCAAAAGAATTTCCCCTGAAATAATCTTACTTGATGTCAAGTTGACTGGGAGGAATTCAGATGAAAGAGGTCAGGGTCCCTGGTGGGCTGTGGGCTCAGCAGCTGCACCGTCATTCAGTGCCTGATTTTACACGTGTGAGCCAGTAAGCTAAGAGATGCTTGGGCCACCTCTGTCCCTTTTTGTTGTTCTGTTTTCAACACTGGAGGAGTCCTTTACAGGTGGGACTTAATTTTTTTTTAAACTTTGTATTTTATCGATTTTTAGAGAAGAAAGGAGAGGGGAAGAGAGAGAGAGAGAGAAATATCCATGATGAGAGAGAGTCATGGATCGGCTGCCCTCGGCATGCCCCCCACTGGGGATGGAGCCCGAAACCCTAGGCTGTGCTCTGACCGGGAACCGAACCGTGACCTCCCAGTTCATAGGCCGATGCTCAGCCCCTGAGCCATGCCGGCCGGGCTCCAGGTTGCATTGGAGAGAGGAGAACCCCCAGAACTGACTCCTAGAAGCCATAGAGGCGCTCCGTCGGTGTTGTTTGATGTAATCGGTGACCTGTTATATTTTAGCATGTACATTGCCGTTTTTATCCAGCCTTTCACGTGGTCCTTCTACACAGCCTCTGTGTTCCTCGGCGTTGCAGCTGCTGGTGAGCATTGGGGGGTTGTCTTCCTCGTTTCCCCGGCTTCCCTAACCGTAGCATCTGTGCGTTGAGGACGTAAAGCTGTGTGATCTCACCTTTTGGTTTGAATTTAGTGCTGTGGACAGCCCAGGGCAACTGCCTGACCATCAACTCGGACGAGCACACCATCGGGCGGAACAGCGGAATCTTCTGGGCGCTCTTACAGTCCAGGTACTGACTCTTCGGGGCTCAGCCTTCCTGCCATTGCTTGTCACAGATTTCCCCACGTTGTGTAACTTAAGTTCCTAGCTGCACCCAGGTGAAAATATTTCATAGGATTACTTAAAGTGCACTAACTGATCTCAAATGCAGTGGAAGGTTGGGTTAGTAAATAGAAACTGATGTTAACCCTAATAAATTTAGCACTGGCGATCCTTCAGAAACTTTTCTGATCTTACTAACTTTAATAATCCTCATGAGAGAGCATACCGACGAGAAACAGGCTGAAAAATTGAGTCACTGGTCTGATTTAAGCCATCCTTAACTGACTCCAAAGGCCAGGTCCTTCTGACCGAGCTGCCCTGGCAGGTAGCTATTAACAAATAGGCATTTAATCTCAAAAGGCAGACGGAGTGGTTTCTGGAGTTCCAATAAGCAGTCACATGCCTCACTGTGAGTCAGGACCTCCTGAAGGCGGTGCTGAGTCAGGTGCCGCCCGAGGGAGGAGGGGGGCCCAGCTCTGTCTGGGCCAGTTGGGTTTTTCAGAGTCAGGGTGGGGTGGACACTTCCCAATGACCTAGGGCACCCAGTGACGTAGGGCAGGAAGATACTTGCAAAACTATGTACACTTTCTGCTTTCTCTTTTTAACAAGTAATGGGAACATGGCTTAACAAACTAGAAATATGAAAATAATTTCCCAACATTCTTTCTTCTCTTTTTTATTTTTTTAACCCCAGCTTGTTCTTTGGAAACCTCTACATATATTTTGCTTGGCAAGGGAAAACTCAGATATCAGGTTGGTTTCTTTCATTTTGCCTTATTCAGCTATGTGCAAGTCGTAATGGCAGTTTCACAAAACTACCCGGGACTGCTTTGTGCAGAATGGTTCTGATGGACCCTGGTACCGTAAGGCCGCTCAGATTTTAGCTGTTAGTGGCTTTTCCCTGGGATTATATTATTAAGCTGATGACTGCAAACGGCATCTGCAGGTGTGGGAGGGGGTAATGCTGTAAATGAGCAGATGAGTCAGTTGTCAGATTTTGGAGTTCCTAATTGTTTTGTCTGTATGTTTCTTGGATTCAAAGGATAGGATTAAGTTCTTTTTTGTTTTTGTTTTAATATATTTTATTGATTTTTTTACAGAGAGGAGGAGAGAGGGATAGAGAGCTAGAAATGTCGATGAAAGAGAAACATCGACCAGCTGCCTCTTGCACACCCCCTACTGGGGGATATGCCCGAAACCAAGGTACATGCTCCTGACCGGAATCGAACCCAGGACCTTTTAGTCCGCAGACCAACGCTCTACCACTGAGCCAAACCGGTTTCGGCAGGATTAAGTTCTTGTGCCTTTTTTCTTTTTTCTTTTTGCTTATTAGTATTTCTGTAACTGAAAAAGCAAAGATGGAGATAGCCTATTTTACTGATGCAGTCAAGGACGAGTTGAACGAGGAAGTGTTTTCGATGGTTATAAACAAGCCCAGGATACCTACTTTCTTCTCCCTCCTCCGTCCTCCCTCCTCCGTCCTCCCTCCTCCCTCCTCCCTCCTCCCAGAGAGTGACCGGAGAACCGTGTTCATCGCCCTGACGGTGATCAGCCTGCTGGGGACGGTTCTGTTCTTCCTCATCCGGAAGCCGGCCTCCGAGAACATCCTGGGGGAAGACGAGGTTTCCGATGACCAGGACCTGGAAGTCAGCGAGTAAGACCTACCGTGTTCCTCTCTGCTGACACCCGATCCTGGGCAGGCGGGTGGGGGGGGGGGTTTAAAGCATGTGGGGCACGTGGGGGGGAGGGAGCTCTGCTCCACCCGTGCCTACAGGGCCGGGGCTTATTTCCGAATTCTCGTGCTGGACCTGGCCCGCGTTTTTACTGTTTGTTGGCCCACGTTTTTAATCAGTGAATTCCACTGCACCCAGCTGTGAACCCAGCTGGCGGGAAGTGGTGCTGTTGGAGCGTTTTGACGCTGAAGAACTTACTTGTGACAGAGGAGTGGCGGGCGGTTGAGCTGGCACACATGGTTTTCACGGGTGCAAACAGCAGGGTGAGCTGTCAGGTCTGCAAAACCTGCTTGAATGTGTTCAGCGCATCCAGCAGGAAAGAATTCAGTTCCCGGTCAATTCCATAAAGAGCCACTGGGTGGCGCTGAGCCAGCTGCTGGGCAAGGCCAGCCTCCTGGAGCAGGGAGCACCCAGGCGCTGGGCGTGCTGGCCAGACGGCGGGCCCTCAGGACCTGACAAGCCTCAGTGGAAGTGAGGAGTAGTTTTGTGCTCTTTTCCAGGTTCAGGGGATAAAACGTTTGTGTCCTTTCTTTTTCTTTCACCAGGTCTCCCCGGAACAACCTGACCAAGGCCGTGGATGCGTTCAGTAAGTGTTTCCTGCGGCTGAAGTAGGAGGACTGTTCAGGGCCACGGCAGCATCTGCCTCTCCCTCTCCCTGGTAACAGGGGTGACGGTCCCCCCGTGCTTTCTGTTTCTGGGTCTGCCGCTCTGAAGGCATGAGTCTTCTCCATAAACAGTCTCGAATGGGATGTGAGGGATGGCGGTGATCCCACAACTTCACCCGAGTGGAGTGTGAGGGAGGCGCGAGGGGGCGGCAGGGAACCCCGGCGCGAGGGGTTTACAGGAGAAGGGAGGACACAGGCCATCTCTCCAGCATCCGGCAGCCCTTTCGTCCCAGGGCCGATGCTCTAACCATTGAGCAACCGGCCAAGCCATCCCCTAAGCATTTTATTGAAATAGTTTGAAATGCGGATTACCAAGCTCTGTCCCAGTGTATTTGTTTACTGGCATTGTTGACCAAGCCGTGTTTCGGTAAACAAATGTTTTAGAATTTTTGTTCGATTCGTTGAAATTAAGTTCCAGATTTTCTTTTGTTTTTACAGAAAAGTCTCTTAAATTGTGTGTCACCAAGGAGATGCTCCTCCTCAGCATCACAACGGCCTATACAGGTAGTTGCTCAGCAGGAAATAAGTGCCTTTTCCTTGTTTGCTTTCTGTTGCGGACTAATGACAGCTACCACCATGTCATTCTTTCTCACGGTTCTGTGCACTGGGCTCAGCTGAGGGTGCTTGTGATGGTCCCAGTGGGGTCTCTGTTAGAGGGCAGCTCGGCTAGAACATTCCAGATGGTTTCATTTGCTTTCGGAAGGCGTCAGGTCAAGGTGTGCCTGGCCAGCTGCAGGCCCTCCTGTGACCCCTCCCCTCCCTGCGGGATGCCAGACTTCTTAGTGGCAGGAGAAAGGACCGGACCCTAAAGCTAGCCTGCCACCTGCCAGGTCACCTCCCAGCACACAGGGCCAGCCCACGTGCCTGTGGATGGGCCTGTGGATGGGCTACACAGGCTTATATGGGGGACACGGTCATCCCAGCCAGTGATTGTAGGGCAAAGTGGACGCTAGGAAATAACAGCAAACCTTTGTGACTTTGTATGGATTTAAGGCCATTTTTTGAAATATGATTTTTACTGATTGAAGGGAGAGGGAAAGAGGGATAGAAACATCAAAAATGAGAGAATCATTGATCAGCTGCCTCCTGCACGCCCCCTACTGGAGATCAAACCCGCAACCCGGGCAGGTGCCCTGACCAGGAATCTAACTGTGATCTGGTTCATAGGTCAGCGCTCAACCTCTGAGCCACACGCTGGGCATTCAGAGCATTTCTGAGGGAAAGGAATGAGGCTGGTGGCTTAACTGCTGGTCACGTGATGTGTTAATGGGTGGGGTGCTCTGACATCTTACCAACGACAGGAAACTTATTTCCTCTTAAAAGGGCTGGATCAGGCCAATTGTTACTTTGCCCTTATCTGTCTCGTGGGTGTAAGCATCTTTTTAGGAGAAAAAGAATAAATAGAAGCATCTTTCAAATTCAGTTATGGTTTGTGTCTTTGAGGAATCAGGTCTTTGGCTGATCCGCCCTAGTTTTACCCTTTTCACAGTTTCCTGGGGAAAGGATTGAATTAAAACATTACTGTGCAGTAGTACCTGCTAGTTTCCGAACGTATCCTCTGTTCCCTCGGGAAGCTATTACAGACGGACGTGAGCTCTCTGTGGGAGCCCCTGTCACGTCCCGCGTGGTTCAGGGTTCCGGTCTGGAGAAGGCCGCACACAAATGGAAAGAGACTAGGAAAGTATGGATTTGGGAAATGGGGGGCCAGGCGGGAGGACAACCCTTTGGCTCTGGCCTTGCTGTCCCTTTATTGAGACTATGGGGTACACCCATTACCCTTAGGCAGGTAATAAGTGGATTATCATATCAATAAGAATTTACGTGATTATTTGGTGGAGAAGTTGATAGGGAGTGATTGGCTCTGACCTTTCAGAGCTTCAAGGTTGACTGGCCTTTTACATCTCTATTAGTGAGACAGTGGTGGGTTTCCAGCACCGACATCTGCCCATCCCCGTCCCCTACACATGCAGTGACCATTCTGAACAGAAGCACGTCTCTGCTCCTCTGATTTCTATATTTTTATCTGAAATATGCGACATCTGCCCTGGGGGGCCACTCTGACTAGTATGAACACACTGTCCAGGAGGTTTCAGGCTGGACGAGTTTTTGTTGCTTGTGTGTGTGTGGTGTGTTGCTGTGTGTGTGGTGTGCTCAGACCCTCCTAGGCACGGCGAGAGCTGGGGAGGGCAGGGTTAGGGTCTCGCTCAAACCCCTGTCCCGGAAGGTCTGGAGCTGACGTTCTTCTCCGGGGTGTACGGGACCTGCATCGGCGCCGTGAGCAGGTTCGGCGCGGAGGAGAAGAGCCTCATCGGGCTGTCCGGCATTTCCGTCGGCGTCGGCGAGATCCTGGGTGAGGCAGCCAGGCCGCGGCAGGAGGCTGTGCTTCGCGGCTCTGTGCTTGAGCTTCTGTTCCCTGTTTGTTTTCCCCAATGGGCAGGACTTTGTTGTTGTTTTCATTATCACTGTTGTAAGGTAACTTAAGTTACAAGTCATTTGCGGAATAATTCAGAGACAAACCATAAATGGGAAAACACAGGGTCTCTGAAGATGCTCAGCTGCAGTGTCCCGGAATCCCTGACTTTCTCGTTCTGTCTGACGCCAGCTGGGGTACAGACACACACACACCCACACACCCGTTCTGACACTGCCTGCCCCCTGAGCGTCACACTCCCCAGGGTCAAGGGCGTCTGCCCTGACCTCAGACTCAGGAGGAAGCCCTGGGTCCCCAGTCTGCCCGCACTTCAGTCTCACTGGGTTTCATTTCTTTTTCTTTCTTTTTTTCCCAGGTCTGTATTTTGATTTATTAACCTGATCTCGGTTGTTCTGTCCTCGGTTTGTAGGCGGGAGCCTCTTTGGCCTCCTGAGCAAGAACAACCGCTTCGGACGGAACCCGGTGGTGCTGCTGGGCACACTGGTGCACTTCGTGGCCTTCTACCTGATCTTCCTCAACATGCCCGCGGACGCCCCCATCGCCCCCCTCGAGGGCACCGACAGCAGCGCCTACATCAAGTCCAGGTGAGCGGCTGGCTTTCCTGGCAGCAGGGAGGGCGGAGGGACCTGTGGGGCTCTGTAATGCGGGGAGCCCGGGCTTTGTAATGCAATAGGGAGCCAGGAGGAGTTTAGGGGGAGATCCATAGAGAACCTGGTTATTTCTGTAGTTGGTGCTAATCTTTTTCTTCTCTATAAAGAAGCACGTGAGCTTCCGGTTTGAGTGTTTTACCTCTGCCTTTTTGAGCAGTGAAACCTCTAGAAGTGAGGGCCTGGGGAAGAACAGCGAGGAGCAGAATGGCGTCCCGCTGGGCAGGGCGTACCTCTCCTGACATCTATGTCCAGCGCTCAGCCTCACGGCGGGCCTGCCCATCAGTGTGGCTTCCAGACACTCGGCACCGAGTTCGCTGGGCTGTGAGCATGCATAACTTCTCCCTTTGCAAACGCTAGTGTTTATTATTGTTTCCCAGCATTTATAACTTGGAAGGTAAAATGCTTTTGTGGAAGAGCTGCTTTCACATTGGAAATGGCCCTCGCAAATGTTGTCGATACTCATTCTACATCGATTTTCCTTTTGTTCAGCAAGGAAGTGGCCATCTTCTGCAGCTTCCTGCTGGGCCTGGGAGACAGCTGCTTCAACACGCAGCTGCTCAGCATGCTGGGCTTCCTGTACTCCGAGGACAGCGCCCCCGCCTTCGCCGTCTTCAAGTTTGTCCAGGTAACCGCCTGTCTTAGTGCTTCCATCGTTTTCTTGTTAAATATATTCCTATTGATTTCAGAGAGGAAGGGAGCAGGGGAGAAATAGAAACATCAATTATGAGAATCATTGACCAGCTGCCTCCTGCACGCCCCCTACTGGGGGTTCTGCCGGAAACCCCTGGCTTGTGTCCTTGACTGTGACCGCCTGGCTCATAGGTCAGCGCTCAACCACTGAGGCCTGCCGCCTGGGCTAGCTTTGTTTCTTACCATGCTTCTCTCAGGAGCAGTAGGGACAGCCTCAAAAGGGGGTTGTGGTTAGAATTAGGAAGCAATGCCGAGTGTGGCCCTCGGCCCCCCCTTTGGAAGAGAGCTTGTTCTGTCTGTAATCCAGGTCAGAGCCTTCCTTGGTTACCTGGCTTATTCGTGGCACAGACGGTCCTCACTGTGATGCACATCATTGCTCCAGTTTTTCCGAAATTGCTATTTTAAATAAGAGACTAGCTCTCTCGATGGTTACCCGCTCTGGACGGGAGGGTCTGGTGCGTGTTTGTGAGCGGGTGACGCGTGGAGCCTGTGGAGACGCGTGGAGGGCTCTGCCAGTCGCAGAGAGCCGTGGGCCGGGTGTGGAGGGCTGCGGGCGGGGGGTCCACACTGAGCTCGGGCACCGCTGCCCGCGGTGACCGTCTTCTCTCCTCCCAGTCCATCTGTGCGGCCGTGGCGTTCTTCTACAGCAACTACCTTCTCCTCCATTGGCAACTGCTGCTCATGGTGATCTTCGGCTTCTTCGGAACCCTGTCCTTCTTCGCGGTGGAGTGGGAAGCGGCCGCCATCATCGCCCGGGGCTCTGATTACGGAAGCATCTGACCCGGGAGGCCGTGCGAGGAGGGAGGCCGAGCCTCCACAGCAGCCACACGGCCCCGAAGGACCGCGCGTGGAAGGGCCACTTCCCCCCGAGGGGGCGGCTCAGTGTGGGAAGGAGGACGCAGCCCGCAGGCCTGCGGTGCTGAGGCGAGTTCACAGCCGTCCGCTCTAAAGCGAGGATAGGAAGCTGGTTCTGCCGTTAGAATCGTTTAAAGATGTTGTTTTTCAGCCCGTCTATCGCGAGTTCTTTAATCATGTTACCGAATGTAAATGCTCCCTCTCCCTCCGGTTTCCTGGAAAGAGCTCGCCTTTTATTTAAATTCTTCCTTGTTTAAAGTTTTGCCCTCCTGAGTCTATGTCTAAGGCAGCGGCAGCACTTTCCACCCATGTTTTTCTCCCCCTTTCCCTTCCTCTCTCTCAAAATCAGTTTAAACAGCTTAAAAAGGAGCAGCTGTAGTAGCGATCCTTTCCCGGCTGCTCTGGTGGATCGTCCTAAAAGTGCTTCTCTGCCCTTTTCGTGGGAATGTGACAGGCGAGGGAACTCGGGCCCCAGGATGGATCCCCTGGGTGGGAGCGAGGAACCCCGGGTGTGTCCATGGGATTGATGGGATCGCGGGGCCATTAAATACTCCCTGTGGCTGCAGACGGGCCTGTCGTCACTGCGGCTCCCCAGCCCCTGACGGCTGCGGCTGCTTTCCTCACCGGCAGGTGAGTCCCAGACGTGTAAACGCGGCCATTCCCGAGCCAAACCCACAGTAACCTGGGCAGCTGTGGGCGTCAGCTCTGGGTCATTGTGCATGGATATTGGGGTGAAGAGTGGAGGGGCCCTGGCCAGTGTGGCTCAGCGGATAGAGCCTCGGCCTGCAGCCTAAAGCGTCCCCATTTCCATTCTGGTCAAGGGCACATGCCCAGTTGTGGGTCCAATCCCCAGTGGAGGGGAGGGGGGGTGCAGGAGGCAACCCATCGATGATTCTCTCATCATTGGAGTTTCTCCCCCTCTCCCTTCCTCTCTGAAATAAGTATATTTTTTTAAAAGGAGGGAGAGAGAGGGGAGGGCTCACACCCACTCACACAGGCAGCTGGGCCCTCTAACGGCACTGCCACCGCGGGAGACACACCGTCACTCAAGTGGAGAGCAAGTGGCAGAACCAGCGGCCTCGGGCGGGTGGCGGGCGCCCTCCGGTTCCGGGTTCCGGGGCAGAGGCTCTCCTGGCGGAGGACCCCACTTCGAGGAGCCTGCTCAGGTGCTCTTTGCCCCGCCTCCTGAGAGCACAGAGGGGTTGGCACCCCGTCTGAGATCAGAACTGCGTGCTGAGACATGAGGGGAAGGGGGTTGCTCCGCCAGCTCGGAACAGCCTCCTCCCCACGCACACACCCAGGTGCTCACTCAGCTGTTTTATTTGTTTTATTTTATTGGTTTTGTACAGAGAGGAAGGGAGAGGGATAGAGAGCTAGAAACATTGATGAGAGAGAAACATCGACCAGCTGCCTCCTGCACACCCCCCACTGGGAATGTGCCCACAACCAAGGTACATGCCCCTGACCAGAATCGAACCTGGGACCTTTCAGTCTGCAGACCGACCCTCTACCACTGAGCCAAACCGGTTTCGGCTTATTTATTTTTTAATTGATGAATGAGAGGGAGAGATCAGTTTGTTGTTTCACTTATTTATGAATTTCTTGATTTTTTTTTTTTTTTTTAATCCTCACATAAGGATATTTTCTCATCAATCTTTAGAGACAGTGGAAGGGAGGGAGGGGGAGAAACATCGATGTGAGAGAGACACAGACTGGTTGCTTCCCTATGTGGCCTGATGGGCTGGAGATGGAACCTGCAACCAAGGTGTGTGATCTTTTTTTTTCTTTTCTTTTTAATGTAATTTTATTGATTTCAGAGAGAAAGGGAGAGAAACAACAGTGATAAGAATCTCTGATCAGCTGCTCCTGCATTCCCTCCCACACCCCTACGCCGGGGATCCAGCCCACAACCCAGGCCTGTGCCCTGACCAGGAATCGAACTGTGGCTTCCTGGTTCCTGAGTGGATGTTCAACCACCGAGCCACACTGGCCAGGCTGTGGGTTCGACTTGAGACTCTACACAGAAGGGACGTGTCTTCCTCCGCCCGGCCGGCCTCACGTGGCAGAATGCCCGCCGGTCCGTCCGGCCGAGGAGTGGGGCCAGGATCCTCCAGGCTTCCCGCCGGGTTCCTGGACAGCGCCAGCGCCTCCTGCCCAGGAAGTGGGGGAGTGGCGAGCGGGGTGCAGTTCCAGGAGGTGGGCGAGACGGGGTGGGGTGGGGTCCTCTAGGAGAATTTGTGCAGAGGTGACACGTCCCCAGAGACGTCCCCTTTCCCTCGGCGGCACCCCGACCAGCCGCCTCTTTTGCTGATATTCCCGACTGAGACCCAATTCATCATCCTCCTAAAAACTGATTTAAAAAGAGAGCCCTCCGCCAGCGCTGCTGACGCCTGGGATGACAGATGGCTTTATGAGCAGCTTCAATTGTGTGTTTATCAAATTAGACCAGCAGCCAGGGCCACTTCATTAAGATTCCTTCTCGTCAGCCTGAGGAGAGGAGCTGGGAGAGAGGGCTGGTGACTCTTCTGTGGGGAAAAAATTTTTTTTATCTTTATTGTTGAACGTATTGCATACAACCCCCCTTTGCCACACTGACCCCTTCTGGCCTGGCCTGCACCCACCCTAGGGGGAGTTTTGTTTTCTTTTCATTAAAATATTATATGTGTACATACCTTACCAAGCCCCACCCCAGGGGGGGGGGTATTTTATTTTATTTTATCTTTCAATTTGCATTTTTTTATTAAGATGTTATATGTGTACATACCTTACCAATCCCCACCCTGGGGGGGGGGGCGGTTAATGTATTTTTATTGACTTCAGAGAGGAAAGGAAAGGGAGAAACATCAATGGTGAGAGAGAACATCGATCGGCTGCCTCCTGCACACCCCACACTGGGGAGGGAGCCCACAACCTGGGCATGTGCCCTGACTGGGAATCGAACCATGGCCTGGTTCATAGGTGGACGATCAACCACTGAGCCACACCAGCCGGGCTACGGGGGAAAGCTTTAAATGCCCGATAACATGCTAGAGGCCCTGAAGGGGCACAGCGGGTCACAGGCTGGAATAAGGGGCCTCTTCAGCTGGGAACCCTGGGGCCGGGGCCCTGTCCTGTGCCCCTTAAGCCTGTCCCTCCTTTAAGCCGCTGCCCATCAGCAGAGCAGCACTTACTCAGCACCTGGCTCACGGGTGCCCTTGGTGCTGCGAGTGCAAATCCGTGAGGGCACAGAGCCACGGGGGGGGGGGGGGGGGGGGGGGGGGGGGGGGGGGAGGAGACACTCCGAGGCAGGGTCTTGCTCAAACCCGCTCTCCTCTCTACGGACAAGCACCCAAGGGCAAGTGTCTCCACTGTTGAGACAGAATTCAGATCAAGTTTGATCCTTTCAAGTGTACAATCCAGCGGCGTGTTTTTGTTGTTTTAATATTTTTTATTGATTTCAGAGAGGAAGGGAGAGAGAGAGAGAGAGAGAATCATTGATTGATTGGCTGCCTCCTGCTCACCCCCCTACTGGGAGAGATCAAGGCCACAATGGAACCTGGGACCCTTCAGTCCGCAGGCCGATGCGCTATCCACTGAGCCACACCGGCTGGGGCCAATCCAGGTGTTTAGAATCGTCATAAGACTGCGCAGACATCCCCATTATCCCATCCTGGACATTTTCATCAGCCGAGAAAGAAGCCGGTCCCCAGAGCAGCCGCTCCCACTCCGCTCCCCGGCCCCTGGCAGCGGCCAGTCCACTTCCTGTCTTCATGGAACTGCCCACACTGACCTTTCTTAGAAATGGGGTCACCGGCCAGCGGGGCTCAGTGACTGAGCATCAACTTGTGAACCAGGAAGTCGCGGTTCGATTCCCGGACAAGGGCACAGGCCCCGGTTGTGGGCTTGATCCCAGTGGGGCATGTGCAGGAGGCCGCTGGTCCATGATTCTCATCATTGATGCTTTTATTGCTTGCAGAGAGGAAGGGAGAGGGGGTGAGATAGAAACATCGATGATGAGAATCATGGATCGGCTGCCTCTTGCACGCCCCGCCCTGGGGATGGAGCCCGCCACCCAGCGTGTGTCCTGATCAGGAACTGAACCACGAGGTCGATGCTCAGCCACGGAGCCAGGCCAGCGGAACTCGCCTTCTGAATTCTGGCTTCCGACAGAGGAAAGGCCACCTCTCAGACGACCCCCCTGCAGATGGCTCTCCTTTGGGGGAGACCTGTCTTCTCCCCTCTCCTTTGGCCTAAAGTGCCAGCCAACCAGGTGTACACGCGCCGCCCCTGAGCATTCATGAGGGACCCACACAACTGGAAGGGCCATTTCAGCCCCCGGGCAGAGTGCTTGGCCGTGACCCGGGTGGAACGGCTGCGGGGTGTGGCCGATGAGGATGCCCAGGCCTGAGGTACATTCAGAGCCTCCGGCTCGGGAGCCAGCCCGACGCCACGCTCACTGCTCCCGCCACCACTCCTCCCTCTTCCGCCCGGAGGCCGGTCAGCGTGTCCTTGTCCGGCAAACCTGTCACCTCCTGGAGCAGCTGTTAGTCCGCCAACAGCCGTTCATCATCCGTCTTCGCGTTCCCCAAGAGCGGGGCCGTGAGGTCACGGACCAGGGCCCGTGGGTTTTGATGGAGAATTAGCCGGAAAAGTGGGAGCATGAGTCGCCGATGGAGCAAAGCGGCTCAGGAGCGGGCTGGCGGGGGCTGGGGGGCAGCTCAGGGGCTGGGGTGGGGCCTGGTTGGGGGGGGGGCAGGGCTCAGTGAACTGGAGTAAAGGCTTCCTCCCCCCCTAAGCTAGGCTGGAGGGGCCTCAGGGTCATCCTGGGCCGGGGCCCTCCCAGCCCGGGGCTCCTCCCAGCCTGGGGCTTCCCGGTCTCCACGCGGAGGGGGGCGGGAGGAGGGCACGCAGGCCTTCATGGAGATGGAGGGGCCTGGGCGCATCTCCAGTCTCTCCCATTTCACAGCGGAGACGCCGAGGACTGGGACCAGACACCCAGCCATGGTCACCGGAGGGTCTGAGGTTAGAACTTGGGCCCACACAGCCCCCCCGCTTCCGGAAGAGCCTGTGGTCACACGCGCGTTTGAACTTGGGTCAGAAAGCCCAGGGGAGCCGGGCAGTGTCTGACCGGAGGGCCAGAGGATGGGCACAATCGGGTGCACAGGGCGTGTGCAG